GACCTTGAAGGACTGGGGGTGGCGATGGCTGACAGGGAGCTCTGGCGTGGGCTGGTCCATGAGGTCATGAAGAGTCGGAAGCAACTAAACGAATAAACAACAACCAGCCAGCTATTATGGAATGCAAGTCCCAGAAACCAATTTATTTGTCGTGTTAGGGCAACCAGTCAATTATATTAAATTTCTAACAGAACAAAGCAAACAAACAGACAAAATACAAAATTTGTGAGTTTGGTGGTTGATTAAATGTCCTTTGACCAGTATCTGGCCACTTGGAGTGCTTCTGGTGTTGCTGCAAGAAGGTCCCCCATTGTGCATGTGGCAGGGCTCAGGTTGCATTGCAGCAGGTGGTCAGTGGTTTGCTCTTCTCCACATTCGCATGTCGAGGATTCCACTTTGTAGCCCCATTTCTGAAGGTTGGCTCTGCATCTTGTGGTGCCAGAGTGCTGTCTGTTCAGCGCCTTCCAAGTCGCCCAGGCCTCTGTGTGCCCAGGGGGGAGTCTCTCATTTGGTATCAGCCATTGGTTGAGGTTCTGGGTTTGAGCCTGCCACTTTTGGACTCTCGCTTGCTGAGGTGTTCCAGCGAGTGTCTCTGTAGATCTTAGAAAACTATTTCTAGATTTAAGTCGTTGACGTGCTGGCTGATACCCAAACAGGGGATGAGCTGGAGATGTCTCTGCCTTGGTCCTTTCACTATTGGCTGCTACTTCCCGGCGGATGTCAGGTGGTGCAATACTGGCTAAGCAGTGTAATTTCTCCAGTGGTGTAGGGCGCAGACACCCCGTGATAATGCGGCATGTCTCATTAAGAGCCACATCCACTGTTTTAGTATGGTGAGATGTGTTCCACACTGGGCATGCATACTCAGCAGCAGAGTAGCATAGCGCAAGGGCAGATGTCTTCACTGTATCTGGTTGTGATCCCCAGGTTGTGCCAGTCAGCTTTCGTATGATATTGTTTCTAGCACCCACTTTTTGCTTGATGTTCAGGCAGTGCTTCTTGTAGGTAAGAGCATGTCCAGAGTGACTCCCAGGTATTTGGGTGCGCTGACACCAAAACATCAGGAGGGTTTTCTACTGCTGTCTTTGAAAGCTCTTGAAAGGAAGGGAGGAAGGAGGCTGAGGCAGCTTGCCACTTAGCAATAACTGGTAGGGCCCAGGAACTGAGAGGCAACTTGCAATCTCTCTTTGGTGTATGGAAGTTGCAAAAATACCAGCTTCACACTCAGTGGATCCTTCAACCTTTTCACAGCATTCCACTTGGCTTGCTATTAATATCCAAAAAGTTCCAGTTCAGACCTCATATGTTGCACATATAAATTCTTGCTCAGTTGGAAGGAAAGCAAAACAGCCTACTACTCCCCACAGAAAGAAGCCAAAGTATCACAGAAACCACAGGAGACCGATCAAATATTAGCAAAGGGCCTGCAGCAACCAAGGTGGGCGGAGATGGAAAATCTTCCCAAAGAAATGCTGCAAGAGAGTGGTAGTGTTTAAGAACAAAATATAATAAGAGAAAGGAGGCTGCAGGGAAAGTACGGGCCCATATATTCAAGTCTGGCATATACACTTGCTCCCTTCCACACCAGAATAAGATAATGGACTAACAAACAGCATTTAGGAAAGCAGGATGCCACAAATAGGCAGAGGATCTCCAAATGTTTTCAAGCCCATTGTAAAACTGCACCTGACTTGAACCTATGGTCCTTGGGTACAGTAGCACTTGTTAAAAACTCACTCTCCTTCCTAAGCAGTACACTCACCCATTCCTTAAGCACCTCCTTGCTCCCAACATGTCCAAAGAAACCCTTTTCATTGCTTTCAGCATCCATGAAAATCTGAGCTCATTCTGGACCTTCTCCTTCCCAACACAATCCTTACATACCAGGGCTATATGTTGTATGTTTCTTTGATCCTATGGCCCACCCTCTCCCTCCTTGTTGTGATTCAGCCTGTGATTGTTTCACTGCCTGAGGTTTCTGTAGATCCACAGGAGTCTGGTTCTGTACCTGATGGGGCTGGGGATTCTGGGAATGTTAACCCAGCAGTGGATTTCCAGTTAGAGACAGACAGGCTTCAGTTAGCTTTCTGAAGGGAACCAAGATCAGACTCTGATCGGAATGTAGTAATTGCAGATGAGGATTCTTCTGACTCCCCTGTTCTTCCCGAGTTAGATAGGGGGAGAGCAATTTGTCAACAAAGACAAGCAGCTGAAGGGAGACGCCCTCACAGAGACTCTTAATGAGAAGAAGGCCTCAAGTGAAGTTCTCAAGTGAAGAGACATAGTTTTTTAGGTATAAAGCAGGTCTGATTTGGGCTATCCTTTAAGGCAGTGGTTCTCAACCTTTTTAATGCGGCGACCCCTTAATAGAGTTCCTCATGTTGTGGTGACCCCCAGCCATAAAATTATTTTTGTTGCTACTTCATAGCAGTAATTTTGCTACTGTTATGAATTATAATGTAAATATCCGATATGCAGGATGTATTTTCATTTGCTGGACCAAATTTGGCACAAAAACCCAAATTTGAATACTGGTGGGTTTGAGGGGGGGGGGTTGATTTTGTCATTTCAGGATTGTAGTTGCTGGGATGTATAGTTCATCTACAATCAAAGGGCATTCTGAACTCCATCAAAAATTGAATCAAACAAAACTTGGCACACAGAACTCCCATGACCAACAGAAAATACTGGAAGGGCATTGACCTTGAGTTTTGGTGTTGTAGTTCAGCTGGATGAATTGTTGCCAAATTTGGCCACAAGACACCTACTAGCCCAAGGAGTGACCATCACTCAAAAAATGATTTTGTCATTTGGGAGTTGTAGTTGCTGGGATTTATAGTTAACCTACAATCAAAGAGCATTTTGAACTCCGCCAGTGATGGAACTGAACCAAACTTGACACACAGGACTCCTATGGCCAACAGAAAACACTAGAAGTTTGGTGGGCATTGACCTTGAATTTGGGAGCTGTAGTTCACCTACATCCAGAGAGCACTGTAGAGTCAAACAATGAAGGATCTAGACCAAACTTGGCATGAATACTCCATATGCCCAAATATGAACACAGACAGAGTTTGGAGGAAATAGACCTTGACATTTGGAAGTTGTAGTTGTAGTTGCTGGGATTTATAGTTCACCTACAATCAAAGAGCATTCTGAACCCCACCGACGATAGAATTGGCCAAATTTTCCACACAGAACCCCCATGACCAACAGAAAATACTATGTTTTCTGATGGTCTTTGGTAACCGCTCTGACACCCCTTCATGACCCCCCGGTTGAGAAACACTGCTTTAGAGGAATCAACTTCTGGGTAAAAGGAACAAGCTTTAAGTTCCCCTCTCTCATTTTCTCATGCTATGGAATTCATGGACTCAAGGCTGGGCTTTTCCTGTGTGTTTATTCATGGACTCATGTTTTAAATATAAAGTGCTTTTCCTGGTCTCTTGTATTGCTCCAAGAATCAAGTGGTTTCACAGACTCATGTATTTTTGGATCTTTGCGATATCTGTCATGTACTTTTGATCTTCAGGATTGCTGTGTTTTGTCAAGATTTAAAGATCTTGCCTGTATCCTGGTCTTATGGATTATTGCTTTCAAGTTTTTCTAAGTGCTTTATTCTTCATGGATTATATTTTGTATTGACTTTGATCTTTCTACCCTTTTTTGCTGTAGCTACATTTATTCTATAATAAACTGCTTTGCTTATAAACTGAACTCTGGAGTGTGAGATTGCTTCAAAGGTGCTTTTCCAGCCCTGGTGTGCGACACTCCTGTACATTAGATTTTCAGCCTCTCGGAAAGTATCTACAGGGCAAAACTTATTTTCCCTTTAAGTCAGTGGTTCTCAACCTGTGGGTCCCCAGGTGTTTTGGACTACAACTCCCAGAAATCCCAGCCAGTTTGCCAGCTGTTAGGATTGGGAATTGGAGGCCAAAACATCTGGGGACCCACAGGTTGAGAACCACTGATCTAAGTGAAACCCATTTTCCTAGTCATTATTGTGTTTGGGATTTCTGCATTTCGGTTTTTAAGTTTTCCACCCTTTTTGAGCTCTCTTTCCTATTAGAAGATCTAGGGAAGTAATGCTACCCCTCTATTCTGCCTTGGTTAGACCACACCTGGAATATTGTATCCAATTCTGGGCACCACAATTGAAGAGAGATATTGACAAGGTGGAATGTGTCCAGAGGAGGGTGACTAAAATAATCAAGGGTCTGGAGAACAAGCCCTATGAGGAGCGGCTTAAGGAGCTGGGCATGTTTAGCCTGAAGAAGAGAAGGCTGAGAGGAGATATGATAGCCATGTATAAATATGTGAGAGGAAGTCACAGGGAGGAGGGAGCAAGCTTGTTTTCTGCTTCCTTGGAGACTAGGATGCGGAACAATGGCTTCAAACTACAAGAAAGGAGATTCCATCTGAACATGAGGAAGAACTTCCTGACTGTGAGAGGTGTTCAGCAGTGGAACTCTCTGCTCCAGAGTGTGGTGGAGGCTCCCTCTTTGGAAGCTTTGAAACAGAGATTGGATGGTCATCTGTCCAGGGTGCTTTGAATGCAAATTTCCTTCTTCTCGGCAGGGGGTTGGACTGGATGGCCCATGAGGTCTCTTCCGACTCTATGATTCTATTCATGGAATTCTATGTCGATCCAATGTTCCCACGCCTTTTTGAATGAACATGGTTTGAACTTTTGGAAACCACTTTTGGGAACCAAACTATGACACATCCGAAGGTGACCTGCTTACATTTTCCAAATTTTCAAATCCTATTCTTCACCACATAAAGATCTCAGATTTATCTGGTATGCCTCCTACGCTCACATATTAGTAGATAGACAAAAAAGGGTATTTCACCTTGTCGTTCGATATACCATGCCGCTCTCGACTGCGCCTTATCTTTTGATATATAAAAAGGATCTGCCATAACCAAAATCATGTATCTTTAACCACTTCTGACACCATTTAAAATGTGGAGATGTTCTGAGAAAAATGACCACATACCTCACTGGTGCGGAATATAATCCTATACTGGTACTGAGGCCCATGCTCCCGGTGGTCTTCTAGCTTCTCGCGCCTGATGCTCACAGCCACAGGACCCAGCTTCTCATCTACCCCAAAGTAGTTGGAATGCTCTAGATAATGCAAAAGAGAGAGAGAGAGAAATGGTGGATGGGTACCTTGCTTATTTATACAGCAACATGCTGTTTTTCTGTATCCAACATGTTTGGGATTTTATTGTCTTTTTAAGAATTTATATGCTTTTCTTTCAAAGTGAAAGATATCTGATTCCTGGGATGAACTACAGCAAATTAGACTAGAGTCAACTATAGGCAGCAGGAGTCTACTCTGCCTTTTGAAAAGTGATACACGAAGGACTTTGGGGAAATGCTTCCATAGAGCACAGTTCTGTATTAAAGCAGAGTGGAAAAATATTTATTATTTATTTATTTCCAACATTTATACCCCGTCCTTCTCAACCCCCGAGGTGGGACTCAGGGCGGCTTACCAAGACAGCAATTCGATGCCAACAATATACAAACACAATTACATATAACATTACACGATAAGTAAAAACATCAAGTTAAAACCATTTAAAACATTATTATTCACCATATCCAAATCTGATTCAGGGAATGGAAGCTTAAATACCACTAACTTAGCAATGTTAGGAACAGAGGGATGGCAATGAATCCATCTATTCCAAGTACATATGCATACTGGTTCTCTACGGGCTGAGAAGGGTGGTATACAAATATAGTAAATACATACATACATACATAAATGTTTAATATGACATTACTGGCAGTCTATATTCAAGGCGGTAGTAATGAGAGTTAAAGCCAAAAATGGTTTGTTTGTTTGCATGCTGTAGGTGTGGGACCTCAAATAAATATGTCTGTCTGAGATTGGAGATCTTCTAGTCCTCTATTGTGCCAATTCAGTTCATGGAACTCCTTCCTCTTAAAGTGTCCAACTGACACTTAAACTATTGTCATTTCAGCACCATTTGAGAACACGGTAGTGCAGAAAAGTCTTTGAGGATTTAGTGATTTTAAACAGAATTACATGTGCATAGTTCTGAATAGTTTTCAGAAACTTTGTTTACAAATCTGTCTTCCTTCAACTTTTTATATGGTTTAATATGTTTTTCAATGTTTCACAATTGTCATGTTGTTTATTACATGCTGCCTTGACATCATCAGCTAGCAGAATGAAAAAATAGTTGACCCAATAAATAAGTTTTTAAAAAGGAATTTCTGATGTTTTGTGCTTGCTCAGCAATTTTTTAGGACATTTCTTGTGCAAAACATAAGACACTCTCGCCTCAGCCTGGAAACATCATAAGTATGTCTTCCCCACACTCCATACACAGAGAATCATAAAGTGACAGCCAATACCTTTTCCGCAGAAGTAGTCCTGGTAGTAGCGGGCTCCCAAGTCCACATGCTCAATGCTGTAGTGCTTCAGCCTGCTGATGTTGCGTTGGAGCTCCTTTGGGACTTCCAGCACAGAAAGGCTGGCGTTTGTGCAGTAGGTGGCTGGGGAGACTTCAGCAAAGCTGCCCTCTCCACAGCCTCCCCCACTTGGAGAACCAGCCGAGGCCTGAGAGAAACTGACATTGCGTTCCTGCTCGCCACCAATTTCATTGCGGAAATGAGGGCAGCTCAGCAGAAGGTCGTTGCTGTTGTTGTCCCCAGGGTCGTGGTCCAAGTTCTCCTTGTAGTTCAGGTCCTCGGTGCTGATGAAGGAAGGTGCGGGCTCCAACCCTGTTAACCCACAGGATCGGGAGGCTGTTGTGGACCCGGCCGATGCGGCCGATGCGCCAGTGGTAGTGTTCCTCCGCTGTGCCACGTAGGCTCGCCGGCCCACCACTTCGTTGAGGTCAAAGAGCATGCTCTGGACATCATAGTGTGCGAAACTCTTTTGGCACAGCCAGGGTCGGCCCCCTTCCTCAGCATCCACTAAAGCCTTGCTTGATTCACCATCCCCGCGGACGTTCCGCAACTTCCTAAATATGGAATCGCCACTCCCCGCCTCTCCTTTGGAACCTTTCTTGCGGGATTTTTCCTTGTGATGAAGCGGGTACTCATCCTGATCGTTCCTGGCTTCGGCTTTGGCGCTTCGGGAAGTTCTGAAGGAGTCTGGTGGCTGCGGCGGCTGCTGCTGGTCGACAGATGTCCCGCTGCGGAACTCATTCAGCATTTCATAAAAGCTCTGCTCTGAGATGCCTTGCACATCGATGGAAGAGGTACTCCCATACTCCCGGAAAAGGGGTAAGCCACTGGAGAGCCTGACCCCTCGAGGCTCAAAAGCCTCTTCCATGTCACACTCGCTGAGCGTGATCTCGCTACTGCTCCGGTTCCGCAAGGGCAGGAAACCCCTCCCAGGAGACCGTGGCCAGCCATCCTGAAACTCAGTGTCCTTGGACCTCCTCCGGACCAGGCGCTGGAAGCCTCTGACCCCTGAAGAGAATGTCACCCCGCTTGAAAACTGTCCATTCTGGAAACCCCGCGGCACAGAGGTGGGGGTCTCTAGGTCTCTAGAAGTGCTGGGGTCCTTCATCCCCTCTCTCTTGGGAGGCCAGTCGGCAATCCTGGCCCGCACCCCCATTTTTGGCATGGCCGGGGTCGTCGCGTTGGGACGCGAGGAAGCAGAGCCGTCTGCATGCATGGAGCAGCCATTCTGGGCCCAGAATCCAGGAGAGTAATAATCGCCACCTTTCAGGCCAGGGCCCCCAATGTCACCGCTCTCATGAACTGGTCGATACGATGTCATAGTCTAACAGCGGTGCAGATTTTGATTCCCTCTGGGAAGGTGCCGCTCACCTCCATTGGGGCGGACGGGCCTCAGCCGTTGCTGGGAATGGTGGAGTGGTGAGACGCACGCCTAAAAGAGTTTGCCTCAGGATTCCCTGCTGGAAGAGGCCACTCAGCCATTGCGACAATCCTCAAGCGCCAACATTCAGTGAAAAGAGAGCTGGGATTGAATTATTTTTCCTTTGCTCCTCGCTACTTCAGAACATTATTTGCAGCAATGAATCCTTGGACACCCTAAAAGAGAGAAGGAAAAAGGAATTAAGCTGGGAATGCATATTCTTTGCAATGGCTGCAGATTCAGACAGTGGCAAATTTGGTTGCCTTGAGTTTTCCGGGCTGTATGGCCATGTTCCAGAAGCATTCTCTCCTGACATTTCTATGGCAGGCATCCTCAGAGGTTGAGGGGCCTGTTGGTAACTAAGTAAGTAAAGTTTATATATCTGTGAAATGTCCAGGGTGAGACAAAGAACTCTTGTCTGCTTGAGGCAAGTATAAATATTGCAATTGGCCAGCTTGATTATTTATTTATTTACAACACTTATATCCCGCCCTTCTCACCCCAAAGAGGGCTCAGGGCAGCTTACATAATTGGCATTATTCCATGCCATAACTGGCATTGTTCCATGTGCATAGATCCAAATGATTCGGATAGCCTTACAGCTTTAAAGCCTGGCTGGTTGCTGCCTGGAGATCCTTTGTTGGGAGGTGTTAGCTGGCCTTGATTTATTGTTGTCTGGAATTCCCGTTTTTGAATGTTAACACCTCCCAACAAAGGATCCCCCAGATAGCAACCAGCCAGGCTTTAAGCTGCAAGGCTATTAAATGCTACTCATTTGGAGAAAGACCTCTTGTCTGCTTGAGGCATGTGTCAATGTTGCAATTGGCCACCTTCATTAGCATCGCATGGCCTTGTAGCTTCAAGGTTGCTGCCTGGGGAATCCTTTGTTGGGAGGCGTTAGCTGGCCCTGATTGACTGTTGTCTGGAATTCCCCTGTTTATTTATTTATTTACTTACAGTTCTTACATTCCGCCCTTCTCACCCCTCAGGGGACTCAAGGCGGATTACAGTAAACACATATATGGCAAACATTCAATGCCAGTTTGACAAACAACTTTTAACAGACAAATACACCGAGGCTATTTAACTTTTTTTCTGGCCGCCAGGGGAGCTGCTGATTTTCATCGTCCATCAACGACACTGATGAAGTTCTTCCGCATTCCACATTCCCCGGAGTCTTTTTTCTTTATGGCCTCATAAATTAGTTAAATTTAGCCTCCCACACAAGGTGGTACCTTATTTTCCTACTTGACAGATGCAACTGTCTTTCGGGTTGCAAAGGTTGACAACGGGCTACACAATGGCTGGACACCCACTCCAGCCCGGGCTGGCTTCGAACTCATGACCTTTTGGTTAGAGTGATCTTAATGCAGCTGACACTCAGCCAGCTGCGCCACAATCCCGGTGTTAACTGTTCTCGAGTGTTAACTGTTCTCGAGTGTTAACTGTTCTCGAGTGTTGACTGTTGTCTGGAATTCCCCTGTTCTTGAGTGTTAACACCTTCCAACAAAGGATCCCCCTAGGTAGTACCAGCCAGGCTTTAAGCTGCAAATTATTTTTTTATTTATAGTATTTATATTCCGGCCTTCTCACTCCACAGGGGACTCAGGGCGGATTACAATGTATATATATAGGCAAAGATTCAATGCCATAGACACACAACCCATATAGACAGACAGTCAGAGGTTATTTAGCATTCCAACTTTTTCTGGCCACCAAGGGAGCTGTCACTTCACCATCCACTGCGACACTGATGAAGTACTTCCTCATTCCCCACATGCTTGCTGGAGATTTATATGACCTCGTAAATTAGTTAAATTAGCCATTCAATGCAACGCCATTCAATGCTAATTAAGGTGGCCAACTACAATGTTTACACCTGTCTCAAGCAGACAAGAGTTCTTTCTCCCACCCTGGACATTCCACAGATATATAAACCTCACTTGCCTAGTTTCCAACAGATCTCACAACCTCTGAGGATGCTTGCTAAAGATGTGGGCAAAATGTCAGGAGAGAATGCTTCTGGAACATGGCCATACAGCCCCAGAAAACTCACAGCAACCCAGTGATTCTGGTCATGAAAGCCTTCGACAACACAGTGGAAAACTTGAGAAGCACTCCAAAGGAACTCAGGTTCATTATTTGGCTATTTTGGGAAACATGGCACACATACTACAGAAGTGAAGCAGAATTAAGCAGAATTAGCAGTGTCTTGACAGCAGCCCGGCTGCCCAAACAGGCCCAGGAAACTGGGTCAGAGTGTTTCTCCAAGGTCCTGTTCCTTCAGTTCCATGGCTGTCAGTCAGAACCTGACAACTGACTAGCACCTGACTGCTCTCTCATCATTTCATACATGAGCACAGACACAACAGCCTTGTAATTTCTGGCATTTGATTGAGAGAGGCTTAGAAAAAGTACACTTCTACCAATCTATATACATAAAAATGTAATGTTTGTTTGTGGGATTGACATAACTCAAAAACCACTGGATGAATTGACACCAAATTTGGACACAATACACCTATCACGCCAATGAGTGACCATCACTCATTAAAACAATGAAAAACAACAGCAGAAGACACTTAAAAAGTCAAAAAATAAAAAAATACATTACAACGCATGCGCAAAACCACATATATACACAAACACACATATATACACATATACATAAATATATACATAAATATATACACACATATATGCACACACAAAACACATACACAGAAGGGGGGAAGGAAGGAAGGAAGGAAGGAAGGAAGGAAGGAAGGAAGGAAGGAAGGAAGGAAGGAAGGAAGGAAGGAAGGAAGGAGAAAAGGAGAGAGAGAAAGAAGGAGGGAAGGAAAGAAAGTAAGTTAGAGAAGGAAGGAAGGAGAGAAGGAAATAAAAAAGTGAAAGAGGGAAGGAAGGAGAAAAGGACCGAAAGAGAGAAAGAGGGAGGGAAGGAAAGAAGGAACCAAAGAGCAAAGGAAGCGAGAAAAGAAACAGGTAGAGAAGGAAGAAAGTAGAAGGGAAAGAAGAAGGGAAAGAAAAAGAGGGAAGAAAGGAAAGAGGGAAGGAAGGAAGGAGAGAAAGAAAGGAGAGAAAGAGGGAGGGGAATTTGGCCACAGCAACGCATGGCGGGTACAGCTAGTCTAAATACATAAAAATGTAATGTTCGTTTGTGGGATTAACATAACTCAAAAACCACTGGATGAATTGACACTAAATTTGGACACAATACATCTTTCAAGCCATTGAGCGATCATCACTCATCAAAACACTGAAAAACACAGTGGAAGAGACTTAAAAAGAAAAAGGAAAAAAAAGAAAGAAAAGAAAAGAAAAGAAAGAAAGAAGAAAAATACATTACAACGCCTGCGCAAAATCACATATATACGCAAACACATATAGACACAAACATATTCACACATATATACACACACAAAACACACATACACAGACTGGGCCACAGCAACGCGTAGCAGGGGAAGGCTAGTATATTCATATAGCAAGAGTGAACTGAAGCCACCCCCTCCCATTGAAATAACTTGCCATGTCCAAACAGTTTATTTTCAGGATGGGGACCTCTGGAGAAGGAAACAACCTTCCCTATATAAGCCTCTCAGCAACATATTTCATGTGTTGCTACGCTACAGCTACAAGATCAGGCTTGGTATGACAATGACTCTGGTGCCACCCACCGTTTCCAAGTCAGACGTAGCCTTTGAATTCTTCCTGCCAATTCCCTGATTTCAGCTTAAAAGACTGCATCCAGCTCACAGACCAGAAGGCATAACCCTGGCAAAACTACCAATTCACCAGCCAAGCTACAAACCACAACATGCCTTCAGCCACAGCACAGCGGCTATTACATAACAACCATGTGGCAAAGGGAGAGACTGCCATCTTGGTCGAGACACTCATGGTCAAAGAACAAACGCAAACACTGTTCTGCTGGTTGTCTTCTCTGTTTGGTATAGGACACCCGAAGCTGTCTTCTGTTGAGTCAAAGTACTACGTATAGCAATGTTTCTCAATGTTGTGACCCCTTAACACAGTTCCTCATGTTGTGGTGATCCCTTCCCATCATAAAAAAAATTGTTGCTACTTTACAACTGTAATTTTGCTCTGTTATATATAAATCATAACATAAATATCCGAATTGCAGGATGTATTTTCATTCACTGGACCAAATTTGGCACAAATATTCAATACTCCCGAATTTGAATACTGGTAGAATTGGGAAGGGGGATTAATTTTGTGATTTAGGAGTTGTAGTTCCTTGGATTTATAGTTCACCTACGATCAAAGAGCATTCTGAACTCTACCAAAGATGGAATTGAACCAAACTTGGCACACTGAACTCCCATGGCCGAAAGAAAATACTGGAAGGGTCTGGTGGGCATTGACCTTGAGTTTTGGAGTTGTAGTTCACCCACAACCAAGGAGCAGTGTGGACTCAAACAATGATGGATCTGGACCAAACTTGGCATGGATACTCAATATGTCCAAATGTGAACACTGGTGGAGTTTGGGGAAAATACACCTTGACATTTGGGAGTTGTAGTTGCTGGGATTTATAGTTCTCCTACAAACAATGAGAATTCTGAACCTCATCAATGATAGAATTGGGCCAAACTTCCCACACAGAACCTTCATGAACAACAGAAAATATTGGAAGGGTTTGGTGGGCACTGACCTTGAGTTTGGGAGTTGTAGTTCACCTACATCCAGTGAGCACTGTGGACTCAAACAATGATGGAGCTAGACCAAACTTGGCATGGATACTCAATATGCCCAAATGTAAACACTGGTGGAGTTTGAGAAAAATAGACCCTGACATTTGGGAGTTGTCGTTGCTGGGATTTATAGTTCACCTACAACCAAAGAGCATTCTGAACCGCACCAACGATAGTATTGGGCCAATCTTCCCACACAGAACACCCATGACCAACAGAAAATACTGTGTTTTCTGATGATCTTTGGTGACCCCTCTGACACCCCTTGGCGACCCCCCCCCCCAGGCTGTGAAATGTTGCTGTAGGTGGATAGTACAAGGACACATTTTGGTTTATGTTCGATCAGAGTAGTGAGCTGGATTCACTGTTCTGATTCAGTATGTTCAAGTGCTCTTGAGTCATTTTCCTAGGTCTTCAATTGCCTCCTAGTGATACAGCAGCCTTGAAAGCCCAAGATA